ATTTACAAAAACCAAATATTGAGATTTAAAAATATTTGACTTCTAACACTTAGATATGTATTTTGGTAATCTCACAAAAATCATACACTCCATCTAATTAAAGTAATTATTATAGTGAATCTTATTTATATAAGCATCTTAATTTAAAGTTTTTTCTTATGTAATGTAATCAATTGTATAGATATGTTTTATATATCAAATATATAATTTAATATACAATCTGTACAAAATAAATCATAAGTATATTTCATAAAAGCCTAAAATACTCTAAATTATTACTTTGCATGTATTATTAATAGGCTGGCAAATAAAAATATAAAGTTAGATAGTAAGTTTTTGATTATTTCACTTTAATTTTATTGTAGTTCAATTATAGATATAAATCTGAATATGATTAACACTTTAAATCTATTTCAAATTAACCAATAAGACAAACACATACCTCTTTCATTGTGACAATGACAAGATAAAGCAATTATCAAGTTATTGACCATCGCAAGTTGAACAACAATAGCGACAATTTAAAATTTTAATTAGCCAATTGAATTTTTTGTAAAAGAGAAACTAATAACTGGCTAAGGAAAACTAATTTTATCTATGTTCAAGAAATTTTGAATATTTATGGATATTTATTTCAGATTCTTAATAGATTTTAAACAAAAAAGTTGAACAATGCCAATTAAACCCAAAATTTTCTTTTGGTACATTATCTTCTTTAGGTTTGGAGATAATTATTAAAAGACTCTATTGCAAAATATTCTAATCAAAATAGTGCTACATTTAATGTAATATTAAATTGCGAAAAATGAAATGCAAAGTTAGTATGTAAATCAATTCTACTGTTTCACTGAATGCGATAAATTAATATTTATTTTAACATGAAATATTATTTTCATTTCTTAAATTATTTTATAAAATATTTACCAAGAATAAATTTTAAATATAGAATTAGAAATGAATGCATTATAAGCACATCATAAAAATCACATGAACTATAACAATTCTTAGACCATATGAATAAACTTGTCAAAAACCAATAGTTTTTCTAATGAATTATATAAATTGGATAATCTAGAATGGAAGTGGAATAATAATCTCTTTGAACAGAATCTATGATTACATGTACTGAATTAATCACAATATTCAAGAAAGTAACCATAAGAACGTAGAAGTTTTTATTAAAAGAATATTAGAAAGATTATGATTATGATTGTTCAAAAAAATAAATACACATTTCTTTTTTTAGGACAATACTATAAACAAACTTAAACAATTTTTTGTAACTATAGAGATTAAATATATAAAATTTTTGATCAAAAAAACTCTACTTTTTAGGATGAGAAGTAAATTTATTATAACCTGGAGTTGATTCCATAATTGAGAACCATTAATATTAAGAAGCATAAATTCCTACTTGTCTTTCGGCGGAAAATGCTTTGAATAAGATCTTATAAAAATTTGCAATTTTCTACATGATAAGAACTGCTATATATTCACTTCCTAAACTTGGAATGAGCTGAATATCTTTTACTACACTTAAATTTATAATTCATCTATCCATTTATGATAAATTAAATTATTATATGAAAACTTATACATCACTAATTATAATGTAGCTTTGGCATTCTTGCTATGTTAGTTTAATATATAGAAACAAGAAAAGTTATTGAATAAGATGATTCATTTTGGAGGCCAAAGTAATAAATATTAAAGCTCAACTCAATAATATAATCAAGAGGCTTTCACACATTAATTTATTCATATTACTGAAAAATATTATTTAGTCGAATAGATAAATTATGTCACATCATTTGATTGTAAATAATCAATAATTAAATAATTATTAAATCAAATTAATTTATGTTTTTGACATTTTTATTTTACACTAGCCATAGCCTGAGTATTTATCTTAAATTGAGAATGGATAGATAATTACTATTCAATATTAGGAGGAAAGTTATAACCACTCAAAATTTCAACTTCTTTAATTACAAACCAAAAAAAAGTCTTAATTCTGAATGAAATGTTTATTCATAAAAAAATTGATTCATTCAATATTTTCTTTCAGAAATATAAATGAGTGAAAAACAAACTTAACAATTTTTTCTTTTGTAATATTAGTTTTGTAATTTTTTTTCAATCCTTAAATTTCTGAATAAAGTAAAAAATCAGATCATTTATTATATTCAAATAAAAATTTGAGAATATATAAAAAGATAGGTTATAGTTTTATTTTTTAGTCTTATTTTTTGAACTTGATGTTATGCATAATTATCTCTATTTTATTAACCTTCTTAATGTCTCGATGGATTATTTGAATTTTTATAAAACTTTAAAATAACTCTATATAAATATAATATCAATATGCTTGATAAATTTCCTTCATCTCCTCAAAACAATGCTCGTTTATTTATGAATTATGAGTAACTTTTAAGAATTCCATCAAATTTATAAATGATTAATATTTTTACAAATTCCTTTATGAAATCTAAAATTCATTATTATTTAGACTGAACGAATAATAACCACATCCAATATATTAATCAATCTTTATGATAAAGCTATCTAAAAATCAAAAACATGAATATATTGACCTTAATAAGTATTGAATTAAATTCATCAATATGATTTTTTATAATCTGAATAATCAAAATAATAAAGACTAAATTTTCTCTTTTAAATATTGTTTTAATTCTTAGTCTTTTTTTTGAATGTTAACAAAATAAAATAATAAGCAGCAATCAAATTATTCAACTATTAAATTCAAGATTATTTTGAAATAATAAATAAATATAATATATTGAATAAATGTAGCATTTTTCTAAACTTATTTACTTCTTTTTAACAATAAGATCTTATAAAGAAAGAAGAAAAATCTATCATATAGCAATATGAATCTGATTGTGTTTATTTTATCTAATTGTTTGGTTACATTTATAATTAATATGAAAGGCAAATCCATTATGTTTTATGAAATTGATTATTTTTCTCGAATAGCTAAATATTCCTCAATTAAATTTTATGGTGACAGCTATATATTACAACCCAGTTTACTATTGCATTTTTTTAACCTTTTGTGCAATATATATATTGATCATTTTATAAATTATATTTAAGGTATTTTAATAATCTTTAGAGAGATACTTTCTAAAAATAATTTAGTAAATAAATTTAAAAGATGGTATTTTTTTTATGAATTTTTGATTAGAGATAATAACTTGTGGTACTTTATAAGCTTCATTTTCATGATTCTCTCTGTTTTTTTATCCAAAGTTTATATAAAGAGATTTAATGAGAAAATTTAGTAACTTTAATTAGATAACCTTCCTATTGCATTTGACTTTAGAGATATCATCTTCTTGGAGCGGAATTGATTATCACTAATAACTTTTAACTCATTTTAACCTAAATATCTTAATAATACTATTCATATTTGATAAATATATGAACATTCCTTTTTAGGGTTTGGGTTTGGGTTGGGTTTGGCTTAATTTATATATATCCCTAACCCTATAGCTTAATTTATATATATCCCTAACCCTATATATATATTGGTGTTGGGAACAGGCTTTGTAATTTTTATTTAACGATCGAAGGCAAATAATGCGAATTCAACTTTCTTAACAATCGAAGGTAAATAATGCGATTTGGAGTGTTTTATTATGAATATAAGGAAAATAATGCGAATTAGAGCATTTTCTTATGAATATAAGGGAAATAATGCGAATTGGAGCAATATTTTTAGAAAAGTCAAATAAAATTACTAAAAATTATAAAATATTACTAATTTCAAAAAATTTATTGTTAAAAAGTTTGGATTGTGTATAGATTTTTGAATTTTTATATTGAAAACTATGAATATTAATAATTTTTTTAAATATCATTTTATATCATTTTTATCTATTTTAAATATCATTTTATTCATTGAAAAAGCTATTTAAAAGCTCTAAATTGTTTCTAAAAGGCTATTATTAAAGATTCATTAAATTATTTACTTTATTATCTAAAAGGTAAATCTTAATTAATTAATTTTTAGGGATTTCTCTACTCAATCTAAATCATTCTCAAGAAGCAATTGGAACGTTTGAACAGAGCATATCAAATTATCCTGTGCTTTTTAAAGTTGTAATCAAATATGTATTCAATTTATAGGTGTCTGGTTATTCTAAATTTACTAAAATGATTCATTATTTAAAAAGTAAAAATATGAAGATACTTTAAAATATTTTCAGGATGATTTGCATAAAAAACTTTCTTCCTCAACCACCTTTTATGGAAATTAAGGTTGGCATTATCTTTACCAAATAGCAATTACATTAGGTTCACATAAAGATATGGCACCTGAAATTATTTAAACAACTGGTCATAATTAATTGATTGTTATTGTTTAGGGTGTCTATTATATTAATTTGGATTACCTACTTTTTATTATGAAGAAAATATAAATAAATAATAACTGATCAAAGAGGATTTTAATTTCTTAAGTTTATAAGGTAAAATATAACAATGAATGTGTAAACAGCAGATGATATGAAAATATCACAACTCTAGAAAGTTAAAACTATTTGAGTTCTAAAATAGATGGTAAAATCTCTAATTTCAACATGTAGACCTAAGGTATATAATGATCAACTTGCAACAATAAATTATGAGATAAAGTAAGTAAATGTGATTGGGATAGCTTACACTTATAGTTAGGAGGCTGTTACAAATATTTGTTAATGATTCAAATGAATGTATTTTTAATTTATATAGTAGATAGTTAATATCAAATATTAAGATATTTAGGATAAATAATTTATTATATTACAAGTCTTTTCATTTTTCAACAATTAATATAACTTATCCACTCACTCAGATAAGAAATTGAATAACAAAGAGATTATATAAACTAGAATTAAATCCAATTATATTTACTTATAAATTATATATAATGATTATTTAATTTAGATACAAATTAAGAAATATTTCATTTTAAAATAATCTGTTTCTCCTAAAAAAGAAATATTCTCCATATAATTACAACATTCTTAAGCATTTTATTCATATGATTATTAAGTTTGGAAAAACAGAAATTGATCTCATTCTTATTTTATCCCTTATTTACTTATCATTGCATCTTTACTGATTAAGGGATTATCTATATATTATACTAATTAATTACAAAGCTTTGATTATTCTCATAAAAAAAATTGTGAAATTCTCCAGTTTCTTTTTTGAACCAAACAAACTTTAAAATTTTGCAATCGCACACTTCAAATATTTTTATAGTTATTGGTAGATGTCAATTAATAAGTTTAGAACTAGAATCAAGCCAAAACAAACTACATTGATCCATCCTATATTTAATGCAATGTCTTTGTTTGGATATGATTTGATAATTTCATATACAGAAAAAATTATAGTATTAAGCACAATCAGTATTTCTGTATAAAATATTTTGATATTTTCGTAATTGTTTTCAAATGGCTTCTAAAAGTAAATATACAGAAATATGCTGTAACAATGCTCTGAGCAGCCGCAATTATTGATTATCAGAGAATTAATTTGGAGATTTTAACTCTAAATTAGCTTCATTGGAATTTAAGGGGTTATTTTATAGATTTACAATATGGTTGCTCTTAATTCCTACTTTTAAAACAGGATTAGAGACAAAAGTTTTGAAATTGAGTAAAATTTTATATGCAATCAAGTAATTCTGTAGATATTGGAACTATAGATTTGATTTCAATATCATAATTAGAATCTTTGGTATTTAGAATAGAAATGAGAATCATTTATTAAAATTATTCATCTGTGACACCCTTAATATTTAAACGAACTGGTTCAGAGAAAGATAATTTGAAATCTTGAATGGCAGTGTTAGTTTTGTTTATTTAGTAAGTATAATATGAGGTGGAATCATATAAATGCAAGTATTAAGATTATTATTTTCTTCACAGCATTTTCAGTTTTATTCATTAGTATAATTACTATTGCATCCATCATTGTTGGTAAGATTACCATCATCACACTATTCTTCTGGTTTAATAAGATATCCATCATATATAAAGAAATTAAGATTCCTTTTCTAAATATCCTTTTTTAAATTAAATGCATTATCCTTAATAGCAATCGACACACTGTTTATGAACATTGATAACACCCATTATATTCTTTAGTATTTCTGTCATCACATTATTCTATTCCTACTCTATGACCATCACCACAAGTTGAATAGCATACACCATTTACTAAATCCATCCTGTCTTTTCACATTCTAAACAAGATCGACCATTACAATTATTACATCCTAATTGAGATTAAACCTAACATTTGTAACAACCATCATAAGGTAAATAATTACCATCGTCACATTATTCATTTGTTGAAGTAACAATAACATTACCACATTAATCAAGACATGCAATATAAAAACATCTATTTAGATAATCATCCCATATACATTCTTCATTTTAATCATTTGTATTACAAGCCTCTTTAAATAAGTAATCTTAACATGATTTCTTATTAGTACATCCTCCTTCCTATTTCACTGTACAATGTGGTAAGTCATTAACTCATTCTTTATATTTAATGAGTGAATTTAATGCAGTCTAGCAGGTTTTTGTGAAACATTTATCATTTACCAAAACACAAGGATTTAAATTTTTATCAAATGTACAACTATCTATCATATTAACATCTTCACAACCTTATCTTAAAACACATTGATAAGCATTAGTTACACATCTTTTAGCTTTAAATATTGATGCACATGCTGAATCTATAGCATAATTATAATCAAAACAATTCTTAATGTGACAACCACCTTTTTAACATGTTGAGAGGAACCCAAAACAATCTGAATGAGATTTTGCCATCGAGGGACCATTTTAGCATATCTTTTCTAAACAAGTATTTTTATCATTATCCCAAAAACAAGATTATCCATTTAAATTCTTTTATCCATTACTTATACATTGATTATATGAGTACATCTTGCACAATGATTAACCAATCTCACATCAATATTATTATAGATTTACTGTGCACTAATCACCAAAATACATTTATAAACTATATTGCTGAATATTCATCTAATTTTGCTGTTGAGCATTCCTTGATAGTACATTTATTTTAATTTATCATCCATTCACATTCCGCAAAATTCAAATCAATTTAGCATTATGCTTTATTTAAATAATTATTACAATTATCTAACAATTAGCAACCATTTAATGTTGTATTTATTGTCCAAGTCTTTAATTTTTAATTGCATTAATTATGAGTTGTATATATTAATACATTTTAAATCAACACACTAATTTGATGAAGCTTAAAAGTAGCATAATTTTCCATATCTCTTGATAAAATTAAGATTTTTTCGTAAAAGAACATGAATGTGGAAGATCCACACATTAAATTATATTATATCCACTTTGAGTGTGCAACTTTTATTTAAATAGTATTTTTCAAATTATTCATGAGTAATATTTGTAATTACAGCCTAAGTACAATCTTCAACACATGAATTATTGTTAAATGTCGAATTAGCAAATTTAAGCTAGTTATCATAATCTAATTGTGATGATGAGCTTGTTGGCTTATTCTCATAGGTTTTTTCTATACATTTAGTATTTACAACATCCCAAAAACAAGGTATTCCATTTGTATTATTTGTATTTAAACACAAAAAATCTGAGAGATATCCACTACAATCGCTAACAGTTTAACCTTGAGTGCCATCCCAAAAGCATTTTTAATTAAAAACAATACATTGATTCTCTAATAAACCTGTGTCATCTCGTGGATACATAATAATAACCATAATCATTTTCACACTCAGATTAGTTTGTATAATCTGAAAAATTTTTTGAGAAACAATAATTAAAGTAAGAACTCCATTAACAATTTACTCCATCTATCAGGCTAGTAGAATTATAATTAAATTCTCAAGTAATTAAATATACAGATTGTTGATTCTTTAATGTCTGAACAATTTCTAAAAGAGCATCCTTGCCCTTTAGTATAATTTAATCTGCAGGATTAAGCGTTTATTAATAAGCAATCGTAATTTGAAATAGCAGTTGTGTTAACTTGGCAATTTACATAATTTGTGAAAGTTTTACACCACAATTATAATGCCAGCCATAACAAATTTTAGCTGTAACAGTTGATGTACATGTATATAGGTCTGAGAATTAAATCCACATTTATAGAATTAATTTACATCAGATTTAGCAACTGATAAGTTACAGATTTATTTTTCAGCATATTATTGACTGCAGGATGCAATTTATACACATTTCATTAAAGTTGTATCATATTTATACGTCGATGAATAATTCTGACATTGTTTCTTTCTTGATATTATTAGATGTCGAAGAAAAGGTTAATACATTTTATAATATTTTTTCAATGCATGTATAATTGGAATAATTAAAACTATATAATTATCCTAATTGAGTCTTTTTGCCATCACAAATGAGTGAAGAGTAATATTTATCAGAGCAATATAAGTCCCTTCTACACGAAATATAATAGTTACACTTTAAATTATATTATATAACAGCATTATTTCAAGTTCTCTCTGATAAGTCTGAACAACTATTAATAAAATAGCATCCTAACCCACTTGATTATAGCATGCAGAGGCTATTGAATAATTAACAAAATGCATCACTTTTACTATTTGTGATAGATAAACAGTTATAAGGTAGTATACTGATTTCATAAATATTAGTATAAGTCTAACATAAAGAATTAAAATAATAGCATCTTTCATTGTATGTGGTTAAAGTTAAGTTACAAATTGTAGAATTTGTAATTAAAGTAAAACTTGAGGGTCTCTTATCACAACTAGGTCCATAAGATCCATTTGAATTAATCTTTAGTTGACACTAGAAAAATCTCCTAAAATTTAAACATTCACTTTCAGTCTACGCAGTGGAATTATCTATGCATTCTACGTCTAAACATTTCTAATTGTAATTGTCCCATTTACAAGGTTATTATTCGTTAGCGATTACACAATGCTATTCATATGAATACTTGGAACAATAATTTTGAAGATATTCACAATTTCTAGAAATGTTATTTATTGTACATTTAGGTAGAAAATCTTCACAATCTTAATGAGATAAATTTCCTAAGACTCTTTTATTTATCGTTATCTTCATTTTTATATTTTCCTTCAAAATCATCCCAATAACAATATTAACCACTCAAATTTGTTTGATAATTTCTTTTTTTAATATATTCATTACAGTTTGTTTTCTTTAATTCACATCCTTCAGCTTAAATAGAAGAAACCACAGTGCAATAAGGATTCCAAGCGAAACATTTTTCATGATTATTGTACATTGTACATACTATTATTTGGAGAAGATGTGCAAACAAGTGGATTAGGTCGATCCATATATCCTCCAAGTACTGAATTATAAATACAATGCTATAACCATTTATTACATTAAATATTATCTCTATAATAATTTATAGAAGCATCTGAATATTCTAAGGTTTTACAATAACTTCCAATCCAAAAACATTGAGTTCCATTTTCTAAATTTAATTAACACTATTATTAATTTTTTATCAAATTACAATTAATTGGTCATAATTAACATCCAATTCCAGTAGATCCCATTATACAGGAACCTGAAAAAACTTTAAATAATTTGCATTCTTAATTAGTCTGATATAAATTAGGATCTGCATCTGTACAATTTTGATTTTCGCAAATCATAATGGAAACATTCCATTTACAATTTGATCCTTAAATAGTAGTGTAACATTAATCTTAAAGTAATGAATTACAATCATATTTTTTATCTACCATCCAAACAATATTTTATAATTTGCTAAGACTTAAACATTTGCTGTGCATTGTGGTAACCACTATTCACATTTTTGATTTGAATCATACTGTAAGGAAACATTAAAGACAATTAGAAATTAATTTTTCACAATTTATTATTTCTTTTGCAATTGAAAAATCTTATTTATTAGATAATGTACATATTTCTATACCTTACAAATTAACATAACTTCTTAAGCACGTTTCAATTTTAGGAATCTGTTTTAAACATATTCCTTATTGAAAATCAAAAACATATCCCTCCTCACATAATGCGCATCCTATTTTTAGATTTTTTTATTCAGTAAATTTCTAGAAATCCTAATAGAGTGTACTTTTTGTTAAGTGTTCAGGATATTCAAAACAATTCAAACAATTATTTATAGAACAAAGCTCGCATTCTTGACTTGAAGTAATAAAATAAGGTGATATACAATTATTTTCTTCTATAATTCCAAAATAAACTTTTGTATGAAACAAAAATAAAATATTACAATATATTCTCCATTTACGAGTTTACTAATATGATCACAAACTAGACATACTTCTCCTTTTATTGAAACTCCACAAATCTTGCAATTGGGTAATGTACATATATAACATTAACTAGAAGGTTCTTTACTAAAACAAAATTATTTAAATTATTGTAATTTATAATTATTATCTTAATTGATAGTATTTATATCTATTAAATTAGATTATCCACATTCTACACATAATTCAATATTTATTCCATTAAAAATATGATAATAATTCCATATATTGCTATTTTTTTAGGAAGTACTTCCATTTTGATTTGTGTATAAATTATCTTTACAAGTAGGATCTTTATACCATCCTTTAGGATTTAATAAACAATCTAGACAGGTCATAATTTTTTAATTTATTATTCCAAGACTACAATATTAATGATAACAATACCAATCATAACA